GATTTCATGTTTACTTCACGGACAATTTGACTGAACACACTGGTACATTCCTCCATATGTTCACATGTTTTAACCAGGACAGCTTGACTTGATTACAAACTGTCTCATTCTGAATCATGTAAAGATGGTCAGCTGCCCATGGAAAACCTGGTACACCACTTGCTCTTTCTTCAGTGCTCCATGGAAAATTAATATTTGTTTTATTTCTGTCCTTTTCCACTCTTTTCCATGTGTGTTTGGTTTCTGCCACAGCCACCAGTAAATGTGGGAATAGCTCAAATTGTGTGGGATGTTATTGCACCTCCTCTGCTGACTGAAGGGTGACTCTTGGAAGAAAAAAGGCTACATGAGCCTCAACCACTGAAGGTTGATTTAACTGTGCTTAACCTCTCTAATAAACCAGATTATTTAAAATTAAAACCCCAAACAAATCGTCATTTGCAATGTTGATGATGCTGACCAGATCACACAGATATTATCTGGTTTAGGTCGTGTTAAGTTTATCAGATTTCCTCCTGGACAAGGGTTTGAGCCCATGGATAGTAAAAATTTCAAGGCCAAATGTGTTTTCACTCAAGTTAATTTTCCCTTGACTTCAATACAACATTGAAGAAAATGTGTAAAGAAAAGAAAGTGAAAACCAAACTAGATGAAGCACGGGAGCCAGAATATCTGTCAATGGTCCCAAGTATTATAGAATCACAGAATGGGTGAGGCTGGAAGGAATCACAGGAGCTCATCTGCTCCAACCTTCCTGCTCAAGCAGGGTCTCCTGGTGCACATTATTCAGGACTGTGTCCAAAGAAATTTAAATATCTCCAGGGAAGGAGGCTCCCCAACCTCTCATGCCAACCTCTTCCAGAGCCCAGTTACTCTGTTCTCTCTACATTTTTACCCTGCCATTGCTTAGGCTTTAACAATGACCAGGGCTCTCCTCCTGGTGCCAGACTTCAGAGAGACCTTTTGAAGTTCTTCATTTCCTTTCTGCACTCAGTCAAGGAGGTCACTGTTGAGCCAGACTTCCTACTTAAAGAAGTAATAAAACAGCTCTAGCAGACACCAAGGAGTGGATTCATTTCTACCAGGTCCAGAGAGGTGTCTCTGGAGGAGGAGAGAAAAAAGCCCAGGAAGGTGTGAGTGTGGGGCAGCCTCAATAGCAGGATAACACCTCTTTGATTCCACAGGGGAGGTGGTGGCTGTGCAGCCCTTTTGCCTCTGCAAGCAGTGAGGAGAGATTCATTTGAACATGACAACATCACACATGCCAACAGTGCATCAGTAGGCAGTTTCCTCCTTACCTTCACTATATATGCGTGTTCCAAGTAGTATAGCAAGGCAAAAGCACTGCAGCTCCTCAGATATCTTCCAAGGATTCATTTGAAAAAGATATTCCATCACATTTGCACATTATCCAGCTACAGAGAAAGGACGTTCGTGTGTGCAGGCATTCTGGCAGGAGCTATTTGCTTTGGGGCCAGATGTAATTCAAAGTTATTCTGAATATTGCACTGCAGCAGCTTAGCCAAGGACAGTAATGCTGATTATTATTAGGGTTTTCCTGGTTTTCCAGATGGAGCTGATTTCATTTGGTTCTCTCTCTTGTAATTAATAACTTGTCCCTTTTGTTCACTTTGAATCTTTGTTTCATCTTCAGCATTTTGTGGAACAGTTTCCAATTTCCTTAATCCTTTGCTTGCCTGCTCTGTTCACCAGCAGAGCTCATTCAGCCATACAGTTTAACGACGTGCAGCTCAAACCTCTGCTGCACAATCTCACATCCACTTCACATTGAGCTGGCATTCCTGTCATTTATATTTTATACTCTATAAACTCACAAATCATTTCATACTAGAGCAATGTCAATAACCACTTTTTTTTTTTAGGGGAAAAAAGCACCAACAAGCCACCAGCGAGCATATGGGATCTGTACGTTCTGTCCTTTGAACAAGTGCAGATTTAGCAAGGAGGGGGAGGGAAAAGGAAGAGAACGAGAGCCACGTCCCCCCACTGCCAACGCAATGCATGTTCCTGCAGCATCACTGTTTGGATTGGGCCCATGGCCACCCTACTTATGTTTCAAATAAGCAAAAAATAGATGGAATTCAACTCCCTGCTGCCAGTTTTTAGTGAGATTAGGCTTGTGCACACAGAGGAATTTTTTTAAATAGCCTTCACATGGATCAGCTTTTTGCATTGAGAGTGTGCTCATAAATGGGATATCAGATGTCAATAAATGATGAGTGTTTACTCTGTAGGCATATTACAGACTTGTGTAAAATGTGCTATAGGTAGCTAAACACTTGCTGGTTACAAACAGGGTTCCACACAACAGCACAGATTAACAGACTGTGTTTTTTGTGCTTTTAACTCCTAGCACAAGGCATGGCTCAGCCCAGGACTGGGATCCTAAGTATACTCCCACAATTTAAGCAGCAAATATTAATCTACTAGAGCATATAAACAAATAATTAGTTTGAAGTGTATAGATGAAGTAGGCTTGCACAGAGTGGCTGGATGCTGGAGTCAGCCTGTACAGCTGTGTGTACGTGCACAGTCCCACGCTCCCACTGGGGACGGGCAGGGATGTCAGGATGGGTCCCTCTAAAGCTGCTCTGCACGCAGGGGACTTCAACCACTGACCACTGGGAGCCACAGAGCAGAGTGTCTGAGATGTCACAGCTCTGACCCCAACACCAGTGGGACAGTCACCTCCCCTGGCTGTGTGCACTGAGTGTTGACAAATCCAGATGTGGGGGTGTCTGGGCTTATGCTCTTCTTCCCAGGGGAATGTGGGTGGATGGTTGTTCTCTGTTTTCTTTTCTTTTGTCCCCCAAATACTTGGAGCATCTGGGACTCCAGTTATTGTATATTTTAAAGCCTTTGTTTCTTTATCCTTCGTGCTGCACTGTGACATTGAATGTGTTTCAGATGAATGAAAAGCCTCCTTTAAAGCTCATCACAATTCGCTGCTTGTCTTTCTCTGGGACCATTTTGGGTTTTTTTTTTAACAGATTAATGTCCAGGAGGTCACAACAGAGAGCGCTGCATATGACTGAATATTAACTTTTAATAGAGTGCATTTTGCTCAGGAGCCGATTACAGCCTTCATGAGGCAGGAGGAATGCTAATCCTGGAAGGACTCCTAAAATCTTTCATAAGCTGCATCTAATTAAAAGAAAATGAAATACGCAAGAGTTGATGCACGAGTTGTACATTTGTGCATCCCACTCAATGAATGAATCATTTCCCTGCCTTCTCTGACACAGAAATACCTTGCAACCCTTTAAAGATCTTAAATATTTTTACAGCTCTAATGGACCATGTCACCACAAAGCCACCCAGGACATGGCCACTGAAGTCCAGAGCTGAGCTGGTGTAACTGTAAGTGCTGCTGTGATGATTTGCATGGAGGATACATCCTGACAACAGGCTGTCTACAAGAGGACACGATTGTCTGTATCACTGCTAAGGCAGACCAAACTGCCTTAACCCAAACTGCTGTTAAATTCACAAGGTGGAATTTTTTTTGCATTTCCATACCCCCTCATAACACATATCCAGCATGTGTGCAGCTGGGGCAAATCTCAATCGATGCAACTCTACCAACAGTGTCACTTCATCACGGGACCAGCACATGTCCTCAGTCAGGCCCAGTTGTTACCAATCACCCCAGTCCTGGTACTGGTGGAGAGCCACAGGGAGCCAGGATCCAGGTGGCTGAGTGTGAGTTGGTGGAATGGCAGGCAGGTCCAGTGCCAGGCTGGGACCCAGCAGCCCCCGGCACAGAGCACAGCCCTGCTCCTCCCCATTGCTCAGGGAAGGGCAGATTCCCAGGGCAGACCTGCAAAGCAGAGCAGCCCTGAGGGCACACACACCTCACGCTCCAGTGTGCTGGGGGCCTGTCAGCCTCACTCATGTCCCTTCAGAGGGCTGGGGCTGGGGTTAGATCAGCAGCCTTCCCGCTGGATTAGCACAGAGCTTTGCAGCTCTGCCGGCACCATGCCTGTCAGGATCTATCAGACAGCCAAGGCTTAACAGCTAATAGAGTAACAGAGTGAAGAGAATGAAATTACCCCTTTCTGAAATAGCCAGAAACATGCTGAACACAGATTATGATTTTACAGAAGGGAGGCTCCCGCACTATTGGGGCTGCACGCCAGGAGAAGACCAGGCTGCCCTTTAGCCATGGACAGTCCATATGTGAAGGGGCAGAGTGGTTCCCATCCCAGCTGCTAACCATGGAATGGGATTTGGGGGCACTGAAACAATGGACCAGGAGCACTGAAGGGGCAGAAAGATGGGAAGAGGGTTGTAAAATAAATGACAGTGCAGTGTTATCCCCTGCTGTTGATCCCTCAAAATGTTGTTGTCATGAAGGGTTGGGAACAAAAAGAAGGTTGCTCAGGTTTTGTGTCTTCAGGCTTGGGGGTTTTTTAATATATATTTTTAATGCGTGCTGATCTAAAGTTAAAGTAACTCAGGATGAATGGTGGCTTTCACCTTTTTACCAAGACCAGCATGTCATGCTCAGACAGACCTCACAAGTCACCCAGCTCCTGCTATGATCCTCACATGTGTCCTCACATGGCTCCCAGTGGCTCAGAGTCCGTGCTCCCCACCCATGTGTGCATCCACGTGGCCCCCTCCAGGCACCAGGGCTCAGCTGGGGCCATCACATGGTGGCCCTGGTCGGGGCAGAGGGAACATGTGCCAAACCACAACCACAATGGTGGGCAAGTTCCTAGATCTGTGTGTCACCACCAGTTCTGGCCCCTCCTCATAAACCACTGCAGAATAAGAAAGCAAACTCACAGCTTGATGTAAATCAAGCTTAGAAAGATTACAAGCCTCTTCTTTCACGACCTTATGTTAGTTATATATTAAAAAAACCTGCTTGGAGCCAACAGCTGTTGTTTAACAATTTATTCCGGGGGTCAGTGGGTGGGGAGGAGGGCGATGCTCAGTCTCAGCAGGCCATGGCTGGCAGGGGGGAAGCCCAGCTAGAAGTAGTTGACGACTCTGCGGATGGACTGGACGCTGGCGCTGCGCGCCTGCCACTCGCTGAAGCTGCCGAACTCGCCGCGCTCCACCACGTACATGCGGCCCCGGTAGTTGGGCTCCTCGTACAGCACCCACCTGGGCACAAAGGGGGGGTCACCTGGGCCCAGCACCCTGCTCCTGCACAGGGGCCGCTCCAGGGGGCCGCATTTAGGCACTGTTGCACTGCAAACCACGGGGCCGGATTCCCAGCCCCATCCCGCACATGGAAATGCTCCTGGTGGAATTCACTGTGGGCGCCTCCCCCAGCGTGGCCTGCCAAGCACACAAAGCCAAACTGGACCTTGCCTTTGGAAGATGTTTTGGGTTACACCAGCAATAAAGCCTGGGCCCAAGGACTCCCTGCTTCACATTCACATGAGCGTCACCATGTGCAACAGCAACAATTTAATAGCATTTATAGAGCTAAAGAAGGACATGAGTCCCCTCAGCCCCTGCATAAACCCCTTTTTTATGGAATGTAAGGAGAAACATGAAATGCTTGATGGATATTTTGCCTCTTTGAACTCATTCATTAACTATAATGGGAACCATATTTAGTAATTTCTCTCTTTGTTAATAATTCCTAATGGCGTCTTTGATGCTTCCAACAGAGAGCAGGGCTTGGCTTGGTTATCTTTATCTCTACATCCAGAGTTAATGACAATTCTCCCTTGGAATGCAGTCAAATGGATACAACATTCAATAACCTTGGTGACTTTGGCACACCTGACTTCTTCACCTGGCTTGGCTACATCATTCTCCATCACCCTGCTTGTGTCATGTCTTTCTCCATTTGAAGGTCAAGTCAGAAGCAATTCTGATGGTCAAGAGGGACAATTTTGCTGCTTTTCTCTCCCTTCACTTCACATGATCTTACTGTGGCCACAAGTGTTACCCCTGTCCTCTATGTGAGTCTGTCATGCTTTTTAACCAAATTTTGCCATTGTTCTGACAGTTTTATGGTCAGGTTACCACCCTGACATTACTGAGCTGTTCATCTCTGCCTCTTTCCTCTTTTCCCCATATTTTTAAAGATTTTATGAGTATCTCAGCTGCTTTTCCTGTTTATGTGCTCAACAATGACAGCAAGGCAGAAATGCAATCCTCCAAGTAATTTGGTTTCTGTGGTCTGTCTTTGCAGGAATTCAGCTGGGACATTGGGGTTGGGACCTGCTGAGTGTGGGATTTCCAGGGAGAAACTTCTTCAAGAACTGGAGAGGTCAAAGACTGCTGGGCCTTAAGGGTCAGACAACAGCTGGTGAACTCGGATCTGTCTAACCCAAAGCAAAAAAGCTGGAGGCTTTGGAAAAATTGTTTATAAAAGCAGCCACCCACGGGCACTATTTAAAAAACAAAACAAGAAAAGTTTGGGGTATTTATCCAAGGCACCTTACAGGTTCTTTGACATATTTGTTTTGTGTTTCTGAGAGGATATGGGGTGGGACTGTGGACACCAGCATGGAATATTGTGCCTTGGTTTTGTGAAAGACATCCTGCAGTATCAGAGCCCTGTGCTGACACGTGGTTCCTGCAAACAAACCTCCTTCTCTGGCACTTGTTGCAGCCAGTTTATATCCAAACTGGAATTACAGAACCATCCTCAGCCTTTTCCTTTGGTGCTCCCTTTGCAGCACGTGGGGAAGGCTGCCCACTGCTCACCTGTGAGTGTAGTGTACCCCCACCACATATCCCAGTGTGCAGTGACAGAAAGTGTTCTCAGCTTAGTTAATGACAATTTATAAAATTTTCCTCCTTTTTCTTTTCAGCTCTTCTGCTCTAGGACATCTTTCAACAACAGGTGGACCCTGGGGAATAGAGCAGGGGGAAGAGCAGCCCCTCACAGTCTTGTCTTTCCCAAGATTTCTGTCCAAACACATGGTTGATGTGTCTGCGCCCTTCCATGGAGGGAATGGGGCAGGCTTTGGTGCAGATAGAAGCAGTGAGTGACCTGGTGTGGTGATAAGAACCCCCACTGACTTGTCCCTCTGCTTAGGGGAAGGCTGAAAAAACCCCAAAAAGCAAAGGAATAAAAGGAATAGCAGAAAGATGGGAGTGAAGTGTGCTGGCAGTGCAAGGTGATGAGTGAAGGACTGTATGGCTCACTTAGCTGCTCCTTTATTGCCTGAAATTTACATTCTCTGGGACCATCAGTGAGAGGGGAAATCAAGTCAGTCAGGAGCCCAGAAAAAGAAAAAAGAAAGAGATGATCTTGTCCTCAAGCCCAGCATGGGAGAGCTGATCCAGGCACATAGCACACAGCCCTCAAACAGCTCAGTGCTGTGTTTCATTAGCACATCATCCCAGCGGACACGGGAATAAAATGCTCATGGAACCAACTCAAACTCTGTAAGCCAACACTGGCTGCTCAAACTGAAAAATGAGGAGGGGAATGCTGTAGCATCAGCCTGAACCAAGCAGGAGGCTTTCAGAGGAGCTCTAAGTCACTTATTCTCCATGCAGAACTTGAGCAGTGTCATGGGCAGGTATCACCTTTGCTGAGAAATATGTGATGTTCATTGGGCAGCAGCATTTGGGTATGTGTTCTGCTTTGTATTTCATAACCTGACTGCAGAACACTCGTGAATGGTTCAGCAGAATAAATGGTTGGTCTGATTCCTTCAAGTTATTCCACTGTAGTGTGAAAAGCTCTTTTTGGGGTATTCTCTCCTGGGCTGCAAACCAAATTCAGTTTTTTAAAATTGCAGTTTCCAGGCTGTCCTCAGTGGAGTGGCTGAGCACAAAGGAGGACAAGAACCCCACATCTTCATCTAAAATCAGATGATCCTATATGTGATACTGGAGCTCACCACAAACCTGCAGCAGTTCCCGAGGAGGCGGTGACACCTCAAAACTGCTCCAAAATAGCAATTCATTGCCAGTGTGCCTTAAACAGCTTTGCCATCACCCTTCTGGCTGTGAGGACAGCAATTGCCTGCCCCAGAAAGGCAGCAGGGAAGGTGCTGGCCCCCTCAGGCTCACCATGCACCGTGCCAAAGGCTGATGTTTGTCTCCATTGCCACGTTTCCAGATGATCCGTCATCGCTTCCCGCGGGCACAGCCACCTCCACAAAGCGCAGGCAGCAACTTTTTATCAGCACATGACACCATCCATGGGTTTTGAAATGGAAACAAATATTTCTGTATCCAACAGATGTCGTGTTGTGGGAATTGAGGGTGAAAATCACAGAGGGATGCTGTGGCTCAAACTGCCTTTGTCTCCACTGACCCCATCTCCTCTGCTCCCCAGACATCCAAGGATGAGTCCTGGGACAGCTTTGCCAGGTTATGCCCAGCACCATCTGCACCTGCAGCACCTCTGGAGGCACCTGGGTTCAGAAGATCCATCCAAAGGAGAAAAGTGGTGCTATAGGGTCCCTTTCTCTCCCTGCTCTCACCTCTCTGCAGTGGTGTCTCATCTTTCCCTCCATCCTCCTGCAGCCCAGGACATCAGGTCCCTTTGCATTGTCCTGCCTTTAATTGCCTTTACAGACCTTTCCAAGCATGTCCAACACTGCTCTTCCCAGGATCTGAATGGAATGCTACAAACCTCAGCAAGTTTCCTCACCATGCTCCTCTCCATGCTTTATTTTTTTCTATTTTTCTCACTATTCATAGACCTTGAGAAGTCCTGCAATGTTAACACAGACAATCCAGACTCTCATGTGAGGGCGAGCAAGCCTTGTGCCTTTTCTGTATTTTGAGGGGGAAAATCAATCTGAAAAACTCAAGTGCTTGAAAGTTTCTGGGCAGCTTCCCAATTTCCCAAGCTCCAGGCTCTGCTGCAGGACCCAAGCAGTAAATTGGCCCTAAAGCTCTTGCCAGAGTACTCAGAGGCTCCCTCGTGGCTTTGTGGTGTTGGTACTCAAACGCTCAGCACTAACAGGGTCCCTGGTGGGCTCCAGCCATTTCTTCCCACCAGGAGTGGGTAGCTCTGCTCCTTAATGAGCTGCCATTGCCTAATTGGATTTTTGGAAGAGGAGAGGCCTTGGCTGGATCAGAAAGGCTCCTGCAGGACACTTGCTGCTGTCAGGATATCTTGATGGCAACCACCTTTCCCTATTCTTAGGGGAAAAAATGGACACAAAGGGTCCAGCATCTCACACCAGGTGTCTGTGAGCTGCACAACATCCAGGACAGGTGAAGAACAAGGAATCTGTGCTCCCTCCTCTGCCCCAGGGCCTCCCTCCAGCCTCCCTCTGCCTGGCTCTGGGAAGGTGTTGTGGCATTCCCCAGCCCTCAGCAGGCTTGCAGTGAAAACACAATTGTCAGACAGAGGAAAGGGGAGACAGACAGAGAACAGCCGGTCTGACAAGAAGAGAAAAAAAAAAACCACAAAAAGGACCAACACCATTGAGAAAATACAAACTGCCACCAAATGTCACAGAAAAGGCAAAACTGACATCCTGCCCAGGCTCCCTGAGAGCTTCAGCATGGATTGAAAGAGAAAGGGAGGAAGGGAAGGGAAGGGAAGGGAAGGGAAGGGAAGGGAAGGGAAGGGAAGGGAAGGGAAGGGAAGGGAAGGGAAGGGAAGGGAAGGGAAGGGAAGGGAAGGGAAGGGAAGGGAAGGGAAGGGAAGGGAAGGGAAGGGAAGGAAGTGAGATGGTTTTAGGCTTGTTTCATACACCTTAAAAAGGTGTCTCAGAGTTCCTGTAACTCGCGCTTAGCTGCCACCCTGCAGAAGTCACACCGCTTTGAAGCAGAGGGCAGGCACCAACATTCACCTTTAACCAAAGGCTTAACAAACATTTTTAGGCTTTCTCCAAGTGTCCCCAGCACTGGGAGGGTTTTCCATGAGGGAGGGGTGTCTGCAGCCCCTGCAGTGCCCAGGGCAGGAGTGCCAGTGCCTGGTGTGCAGTTACTTACGCGCCGTCGCCGTACACTTTGAGGGCATTGATGCAGGTCTTGTCCCAGCCCTGTCCCTGCAGGAAGGAGCAATCCTCTGTCAGCTCCAGGCTGGGACCCCTAAAATGGCTCCCCTCGAATATTTCGATCCTGTAGTGCTCACCATGCTGGGGACAAAGGGATTGGAGTCAACAGCAACACCAAAACAGCACAACAAATCATTCCTCTGGCTTGTATCAGACAGAGAGGGAGACAGAAGGGTGCTTTGGAAAGGAAATGGGAAAAGCAATGCAAGACCACTGGTGCAAGCATGAACAGAGCTCGCACAAACTCGTGCTGCCTCCCAGCACATCAACCATGAAAGCAGCCAAAAATCCCTCAAACCTGAGCCCAGCTGCACCTTCCTGTGCTGCTGTGCCTTCCTGTGCTGCTGTGCCCATGCTAACACATCCTGGGGTGCCAGCGCTCAGGGACACACAGCCCCTCATCCATCTGCAGATCCCCCCAACAAACCCACAACCCCTCCATCCCAAATGCAGCATCAGCTGCAGCCCCAACGCTCTGCACACCCAAACAGGAAAAAAGAAACATATCCTGAGTGTACAAATATGTTGGATTATTTCCCTAAACTAATTTGCATTGCCTCCAGTTTCATGTATAGCTGCTGTTCCTTGTGAGAGAAGCTGTGCCTTTCTTTTAGGAAAATTAAAACAGGGGAGAGAAAAGGAAACTTTCCCAGCATCATCATTGCTGTGTGAGCCCTCAATGGTCATGTGTCACAAATGACTCTGGGGACATCTCTGCAGCCTGTGGCAGAGCTATGTGGGACAGAGCAACTCAAAGGATATTTTTAAGCCAAATTCAAAGAATACCTAAAGGCATTTTTCAAATAAACAGCGTGAGCACACAAGAAGCTGGGCTGCCATGCCAAACCCTCAGCAGGCAGCAACCAGGCGGACCCTGGGCCTGAGCAAACATTCCTCAGGGAATCTGCACTGCACAAACCCCTCCAGGCCCTCACTGGCACCTCACAGGAACATCTTGGGCCAGGAAAGAGGAGCACATCCTTGTGCTGGCCAGGGTCCAGGGCCTGGGCCAGAGCATCCTCCACAAATGGATCATGGAGGTGCTTTGGGAATGATGTTACAGGCCTGAAACAGACCTGCTGCTGTGCCAAAAGCAGTTTCAGGGCCAGTGAGAAATCCCACCAGCTCCAGCTGGGCTCATCATTGCCCCAGAGGCCCTCAGTGATATGAAAATAAATGGAAAGACCTAACCCATACTCATTTCTCTTTGCTACCTTTTAATCTTCCCATTTAAAACCTTCCTCTGGACAGTGCTTTTAAAAGCTTGATAAGGGGAAGGGAAAATAATGGGTTTAATGCAGGATTACCAGGGTTGGAGGGTGGTTTGCAACAGCAAATTCAACTAAAATTTGCTAGGAGCAGCCCTGTGGCCTGGTTAGGAAGCCCTTGGGCTGCCCTCTCCCCCTTTGGGTGCGTGGGGAGATGGAGCAGCTGCAGCTCAAACTTGCCTTGGGCAATGAATCTCCTTCTGAATTCCCCCATGAATATCTTACAGCAGCTTACATTAAAAGGAAAAGCACATGGTACCAGCAGGACCTTGCCATCTCATCTGGAAAACCACAGGAATATCTCATCCTCTTAAAGGCACTGTGTTTCACTGTGAGAGGAAGAAGATGCATCTTCCTCCTGCCTGAGGACACAGGAAACTGTCTCAGCTTTGTGGCCTGCTGTTTTGGGGAGATAAACAAAACTCTACAACTTTTGTGAAAGTTGTAAAGCCGGTATGTTTATTACAGCACTGGATGCATGTGGGAATCATTCTCCTAAAATGACAGGTGTACTTCTGGGAATTTCAGGTCTCTTTTTATCCCCCTCTCAAATACATATACATACAATTTCACGATAGGTTCATACATATTCATTTTTATGAATTACACGTGACATCTGCTGCTATTTGTTCTTTATCAGAAAGAATTCTCAGGTCAGGTTGACCTGCTCTCACAGCAGTCTCTGTCTCTCTGTCACGCTCTGTCTCCCCTCCCCTTATCTCTGTCTTTCTCTGAAGCAGTTTCACAGAATCACAGAATCACAGAAATTCAAGGCTGGAAGAGACCTATAAGATCATCAAGTCCAACCCGTGTTCTAACTATTCAACTAGATCATGGCAGCAAGTGCCACATTTCTCTGAGCCTAGGCTAGCCAGACTGCACAGCAAGCTACACACTTAAAGATGTACATTCTATTTAAATCAAAATGGATTTATACTTTGGAAAATTTCTACTTTGGAAAATTTCTACTTTGCCTCATTGCACAGACGGCTCTGAACAGGGACAAACCCACTCAGGAAACTCAATGGGACACCCTATTCCTAAAGAACACACATTTCTATGGCACTTATTCACGTGGCTCCAGTGACCAGGATAAACTAAACCCAGAGGTGCTCCAGCTGGGAGAGCCAGCAGCAGCAGCAGATCCCACTCACCATGCCGATGGGGCGGCAGGAGCCCAGGTGGTCGCTGCGCCCGTTCCAGCGGTAGAAGTCGGGATATTCTCCGTGCTCCAGGATGTACTGCTGCCCTCGGAAGTCGGGGTGGTCAAAGCAGACCCAAGCCCCGCTCTGGACACAGATGGAGTTGACCCTGTTGAGGAAACCTTGGTCCTGGAAGCTGTTGCAGCTGCCACAGACGTCCAGCTTCCTGCCTGTGAAGCATCTGCCTTCGTAGAAAGTGATCTGAGGGGAGGAGGAGAAAGGGCCTGCATTGAGGAGCAGGGACACGGCCGGATTCCCATTCCAAGCAGATGGGAATCTCTTGCAGAGGCATCATTTCAGGGTGGTTTGGGTTATTTTAGCTGCTTTCCAGCAAAAGCATCACTGGCATTTTTTCCTAAGCAGCGTATTTGTTTTTCTGGGAAGGCAGCGCGTCCCGCATTTATGACACTTCTCGCCGCCTCGTGCTCACTCACACATATTTCCAGCAGGAATGTTTAAACAGGAAATTCAGCTCCCGAAACGCAGCTCCTTCTGCCACACCCTCCCCATCCCTGCTACCAGATTTGCTCCCGGGATCACCACTCACACCACTGCTGGCTCTGTTATCCTCATCCTCATCCTCCACCCGGAGGATGCTCCAGCCCCAGGCAGAAGGGGAAGGGTCGGGTCGTTACTTACTTTTCCTGAGTATTGGGACATTTTCTGCTGGCTGCTATCCCAGAGCAAGAGCGGGAGCCAGCAGAGCTGCGATGGACAGACCATCGCACAGGGCGCTATATAGGGGCGGCCGGGGGGGGGCCGGCCCGGCCGGGGCTCTGTAACAAAGCCGCGGGAACCGGGGCTTTGCCCGTCCTGCTTCGTAGGCAGAACCGCCGGTAACGGGGCTGCTGAGTCCGGGCTTTTGATTTTGGGCAGATGATCTGACAAAAGATTTGCTTGGCAGGGCTTTGGTCGATTAGCAGTGCACATTTACTGCTCCTTTTTGGAGGACTTCTTTTTTTTTTCAACATTTTTTTCATCTTTATTTCTATTTCTTGTTTACTTCCCCCCTCTGTTTTCCCCCATTTTTTCATTTTTTTCCCGTCCTTTTTCCTCAGCAGCATCTCTAAGCATGGCACATAATTTCTCTATGTCAGAGAAATGGTTTGCTTTTTCCCAGCTTCTTCCCACCTCCTGCAGTGTGGCAGCCAAGAGAGGGTGCCCTTGAAGACTCCCCACCAACAAACATTGCACTCCATCTGTCAAACCAATGGTTTCTCATTCAACCTTTGAACCCATCTAAATGGCACCTCCAAAATCCAAGGATCTGATCCCCTCCAAAGCACAGAGGTTGGGCTTCCAAACCCACTGTGTTACTCACGAGCATCATTCTCAGGAATGTTTTGATCCTCCAGCACTGAAGCCCTGACTCACAGCTGTAAGTCAGGGTTAGAGGAACTTTTGGACCATAAATTTACCCTATTAAAGTAACTTAAATTGCAGCTATATGGAACCATAAAGTCCTCGTCTGTGTTATAAGGATATCCAGAGATTTTAACTGTGATATTCCCAGGACAAACAGCAAAGGAAGCTCCCAGCCCATAAATCCCATCAGTTCATACTAATGAGCCAGGCTAGGAAGAGGTAAAGGCAGATGTGTGGGGGTGGCCCATGGAGCAGCACGCAGAGATGTACCAAGGGGCCACATTAAAAGGAGATTTGTGCTTTTATGCTTTTTAATAGCTCTGGAAGAGACTTCACACACAGCTCCTGCTCATTGAATCCTCCTCCTCACTCACTGGCCCTCCATCACCTCCCCTTGCTGCTGCCTCCCTCCCTGGGCCATCAGACACATGTTTCAAATCCAAACCCTGAAACCTCCTTTCTTGGCAGGCTGCTCCCATCCTCAGGTGTGCCAGCAGCCCCACTCTGCTGCCTTGGCTCACTGCTTCATCTCGAGATTAAAGTGCTTCAGCAGAAGGGGTGTGTCATTATTAGGGCTCAAACGTGTGCCACCCTCTCAATGAAGATGTAAAAGTTAATGAGCACGTGTGCAGACACACGTAGGCTGAGCTGGAGGATGTCACTGACTGGGATGAAGGAGAGAGGCGGCACTTTGTGCTGGGAGAGCAAACACATCCTCCAGCTGATGCGGGCAAATCTGCTCTGGCATCACAGGAACACGGCTCACACGTGTGTGTTGTGCTGTGAGGCAGGAAACAATGAAAAAATAAAAGAGGAAGAAATAAAAATATTAAAAAAAGAAAAATAAAAAAAAAACCCAAACCTGCCCAAAACCTCTTTGAAACACCAGTGCTAATTTTAAGGTGTTAGATTAATCACTAGAAAAAGTAACAGCAGAAAAGTCCCACTTGGAAGAGCTGCAGCCAAGACAGGGGGCATCAGTGGTGTTCCCAAATACCCAAACCCAGCCACTCCCTGTGGCAGTCAGTGCCCTGGGAGGGAAGGAGAATTGTTCCTCTTCTGAGCCATGGCTGGGAGCACGAGGACAATGGGGTGGCACCATTGCTGGCTCTGGGACCCAACTCTGCACCCATTGGGGTCACAGCTCAGGCTCTCTGCATTGGCCACGAGCTGTGGGTGCCTGGAGGGGAAAACCCATGGCAAACTGCCCCCAAAGCACCCAGGAAAGCAAACTCTGCTTCAGGAGACTTTTGTGGAACCACAAAAGCCTGGTTTCCTCTGGCTCCGTCTCATGAGGGAATTTTCCTGTTTCTCTCAACGTGTGACATTTAATTCAATGTGCAACAGCTTGATGAATCTGAGACTTGTGCCCAGCTGTCAGATTTTTAGAAATTGTCCAACAGGTTCAAAAGCTACTTCAGAAGAGATGGAAAGAGGTTGTGGCAATTTTAGCCTCATTTCTTTGACAAACCATGCTAAAGATATGAAATAAGAAAGGACCCATCTCTAGAAAAAAGCAAAATGATGGGGAAAAAAGAATATGGAAGAATGGCAAATGATAATTCCTGGACAAAGCCCCTTAACTCCTTGCCAAAGATGGAAAGGCTGCCAATGGAAGAGAGAAAAGAGCAGCCTGAGAAGCCTGTGGCCATAACAGCATTTCAGGCAAGGGATGCTGGGGCTGCCTCACCTCCTGCTCGTGCCCAGGTCTATCTGAACATGAGCCCCACAGCAAAAGTGTTGTGGACAGATTTCCTCCACTGTGGCTGCTTAAAGGATGAAGCATTGGAAATGAACTTGTAAGTTTGAGTATTCGGCTTCAACAGCCAGAACCTAAAAATCTGAGATTCTTCTGTGGGTTTGGTTTAGAGGAAGGAATTGGGTTTGATGTCCACCAGAGCAGCTCCAGGCTGTGCTATCTCTGCTGGCCTTTGCTGCCACAAGGCTGAGGAGTGAAGTGGTGAGAGACAATTTGCTCTCCAAATTGCCCAGGCCAGAGCCAGGGGAGCTGAGCAGGGTGTGACTCCTGGAGGTGAATCTTTGGGAGTGACCTCACTTACGTGAATGGAACATTCCCTGTCAGAGGATGAGCATTCTGCTCACAGGTTCTTCCTACAGCTGGCACAGCCCCACACAAATCACCAGCAATGGAGCAGCAGCCAAGGAGTTGCTCCACATCCTCTGAAAGGGCCACACTTCAGCTTCTGGAGGAGCCTGGAATATTTGCAAAACAGTGTTAAGACCTGGCACGGAAAATCCCTAGCTCAGGGCTTTCAAAACACCATCTTGCTTTGAAAAGCTCATAGATTTTTCACATACCTCAGTATGAGATACTTTGAGCTCATTAAATGTGAAACAACCATGAGTCTTGCTCCTTCTCACTGAAAAATTTTTGCTTTGCTGCTGGGAATGATGAGCACATCCTGTGGTACTCCTCAGAGCAGCAACAGACCTGAATGAGAAACCATCTCTTGACTCAAAGTGGAGTTTCTGTGTGAAATACACACTGCCTGTCAAAGACCTGGCCCTCCTCAGCCCAAAGTCCCAATTTCTGCTGGGATGAACCCAGCCCTGTACCTGAGGGCAGCACGTGCTGCCCCCCAGAGCTGCCAGGGGCCTGGGCACACTGACTGCAGAGCATCTCTGCAAAACATCCAACCCACACCCGCCCTGGCAGAACACATCACTGCTGCTGGAAATGGGAATCAGCTGCCAGGCAATGGTTTGGGGTTCAATGTGTTGCCCTCAGCATGGATGCACTACATTAAAATCTCTGGAATATCTCAATCTACCAAGGGTGGCCATCTCACACCCTGACCCATCCCATGTCAGCAACACCTCGTGTCACCCATGTGGGGTAAGGACTCCAAAAAACCTCCTCACACTCAGCAAATCCTGCCACAAAATGATGGATCTGGCCAGATTCCTACTAGGAAAAACAGCTCCTCACATTGGAGAGAAGACCTGCTGGTCAGGTTTAGCCAATTACAGCCTTGTTTTCAGTAATATTCTGTCCAGGGATCATCACACACCTCAGCATCTGACTGAGATGGGACCTGGACTTCACTTTGGAAAGCATCAGAAAGCCTGGGGGGTGAAATCCTTTCAGTTTTCACTGTATTTCAAAAAAGGGAAAAGTTCCAGTAAGGAAACAGGATATCCAAGGAAAAGTTGGATGCTAAGCACACCCATCACCCACACCAGTTTAGCCACATTTCTGCACACTCCCAATAGCTGAAGGCATCTGTGCAAAGGTTTTTACTCCCCCTCCCCACTTTTTGAAGGGGAGCAATGCTGACTTTTTAGATGAAGTTGTGAAGATTACCCAGTATTAGCAAAATGCTCTGAAGATGAGCACTCCTGATTACATAAGGGCTAATTAGAAGCTGTTGATTTCTCCTTCTGGAGAGGCTCAGCAGTGTTAATTAGCAGGGTAAGCCCAGCAAGCCTGGGCACATCACATCATCACTCACACAGCACCTGGGACATCTGCAACGCATCCAGATTCAACAGCAGAGCTTCTGCTATTGAACAGGAACAATGGAAACATTTTTCCAGCTTTTTTCTTCTCCAGCATGGACCCACCAACCCTCTACAGAAGCTGGGAAGAAGCACTACAGATCCATAGATAACTTCCCTGTCATGGAGTTAAGCAGACAGGGACAAACTTCATTAGGCATGGAAACAACAGGAAAAAGAAAGCTCCATTTAGCACCTGCAGTCCCTCCTGCCCTGCTGAGCTCATCTGCCCCACTGCCCTGCTCACCCTCAGCATTTCCAGGCTGGGACATGAGCAGCTACGGCCCTGGCTCTCAGGATTATTCACACAGCAAAGCCAGGAGCTGGACAGGGGCACAAGCAAGGCAGGAGTCACTTCCAAACCAGGGCATTATAAATCCACACAAGTCAGTGATAACTTAACACGACTTAGAGTAGCCAATCCTCTCATAACCACAGAATGGCTGGGGTCAGCAGGGACCCCTGAGGACACCTGGCCCAAGCCCTGTTCAAGCAGGGTCACCCAGAGCTGGTGGCTTGGGACCGTGTCCAAGGGGCTTTTGAGTATGTCCAAGGTGGGAACTGGTGGACTGTGCTCAACCTCACATGAAAAAATTTTGCTCATTTCCTCAACAGGAAAAGGATCTTTGCACTTTCACCTTTGCAAATGATCATCCCTTAATAAAATTAATAAGCTTTTCCTAGCCTGGATCAGAGAACTTTAACAAGGCTGTGTAAATTCATCAACTCCAGGGAAGCAGCAGTTTGCTACAAAGCAGGATTTTGTTTCTGTACATAACAGGACTTTCCCAATTGCCCATCCCCACCTTCAGGGCTCTCAGGGTGAAGAACCCAACCTGTGCCACCTCAGGAAGCACAAGGCTGCCCCAGCCTCTGTTAGACTCCAGCTGCTGAAGGTGCCACCCTGAGAAACCAAGTGAAATCTGTACAGCCAAGGACAAGGAGGAATTCACTGATCACACTTGACTACACATTTCAGCAGAACTGCAAGACTATTGCACATGGCTGGTCCTTAGATCTTATTAGCAGAGAAAGGCTTGGACGAGTGGAATAATTTCCATTTTTTACTGGATGAAGCAGAAAGAGGAAGAAGGGAATAACATATGTGGATGAGTTCAATTCTTCAGCTATTATGGAAAATGCAAGAGCACTACACATTTCACAGCATTGAGTGCATGAATTGCTTGGGCTGGGAGGGACCCAAAAGCCCACTCAGTTCCAACCCCCCTGCCATGGGCAGGCTCACCTTCTGCAGGTTCACCATCCAACCTGGCTTTGTGGAGCATCCATAAACTCTGAGCAGCCTGTTCCAGTCTATCACTGCCCTGAAGAATTTCTTCCTATTAATTATTCTAAACCTACTCTCACAGTTTGAAGCCATTGCCCCTTGTCCTATCAATACATGGCCTTGTGAAATGTCCCTTTCAAGTCTCAGAAACTCCCACCACAAATCATCCAGAGAATCTGCACTTATCTTTGAGCCCTTCTGGAAAGCCACATCACTGGAAGGCAGGACCTCAGTTCTCCCAGTTAAATTGCACATGCCCTCATACATCTCCTTTAAAACTCTTAGCAGCTGGCACACCTCAAGAGGCAATGCAGCAGCTATTATGGGGGTTAGGCTGATACCAGTACACCTGCAGCGTTTGACTAAAAAATGGAGCAGATGTGGTCACTGAGGTTTGCGTTACTCCAGAATTCCCACCCTGTGATGCAGAACACGTCATGCAATGTCACAGCCTCGGGTCATGCAAGAGCTCATCAGTCCTGGGGATGGGGCACTGAAGGATCAGATCACACTGACTGACAGACCCTGTGCCGAGCTCCTCAGGCCATGCTCTGCATCCTCAGATCACCAGTCCTGGGGATGGGGCACTGAAGGCTCAGATCACACTGACACACTCTGTGCTGAGCTCCTCAGGCCATGCTCTGCATCCTCAGCCATTCCACTGCCAGCCAAGCAGCCCTCACTGCAATGCTGCAGGTTTCTTGGGCAGGGAACGGCCCCAGCTCAGTCTGTGTCCAAAATCAAAGCATGGACTCATTTCCCTGAACAAGCTCTCTGCTGCACTCCAGCAATCCATCATGCAGAACAATCATCAACCTGTGCTTGGCACAAGGTGTGTGAATTCATGGAAAATGGGCTTTCAGAAAAACTGGAAATATCCTAAGTGGAGAAAAAGGGCTTTTTTTTTTTAACTAGTTGCTCTCATGATGACCAAAGAAAACCCCAAGCTTACCAACATACACTGTTGAGAGGTTTAGACCACTTTTCGTATCACATGAGGGAACAACTGCCCAAAGAAAATAAAGGAACAAAATGCTTCGTTTGTATCTTTTAGCACAGATTGGGAGGTAAAAGCTAATTCTGTTGCAAACACACTCCAACTTTCCCTTCCTATCTACTCCTGTCAGAAATTTAAGTTTTCAAATGAACACAAAAGCGCAGGCGAAATATTTCATTTCATTAGCTCTTCCCCGAATCAGCCTTGTTTGTTTTTACTGTTTTGAGTTTTGTTCTGCTTTTCAATACAAAGTAGGTCAACTCAAATTTTTTTAATATATAGTTGTAAGGAGTTTATTTCCAAGATTAGAGCTTGCTAAGCCTCCAGTCCAAAAGCCAAGGAAAAGCCTGGAGCTGGTCAGGAAAGCTGTGCAGGAACCCTGAACTCTGCACAGCCAGGCATCAGGAGGCCGCTCACCTCTACCAGGAGCACAGGAATTCACAACAAACAGCCCACACCAATTTGTTCAGGACGTGCAATTTATTTTAAATGACATTTTTGTTCTCTTAACAAGTCTAAGCTTGTGACCTGGATAAATCCACTCCATCCTGACAGCGCTCCCAGCCACCAGCCTGCGTGCACAGTCCGTAGCGCAGGAACTCGGGGCGGCTCTGCGGGCCCCTCACTCAGCGGTTACAGAGGAAAACACAGAGCAGGTTCTGACTGAAACCCAGCATTTCCCTTCCAAATAAAGCTGGCACTTGTCCCTCCTTCCTGTGACTGGGCACAAAGCAAAGCAGAGCTGCTTGGCCAGCCTGGAGTTCCAGTAGCAAAAACATTTGGGATCACTCGCAAACAACTTCCCGAGCAATAGTCAAACAATCCATTGGCTCCAAGGATCTCAGGCCTTCTCTTAAGGTCAGCAGGTGAACATTTTTCACAAAAAAAAAAAACAAAAAAAAAGTTGATATGGAGTAATCAACGAAAAATTATAAACAGAACATTTAAGGTTTGCAGCTATTTTATTTACAAGTATACATTTAACACAAAGAAACACTGATATCCAAGCCTAGTTAATAGTAGTGTAACAATATGCATCATTTTGATGATTATTCTAACCAACAAACTACACTGAAAAATTAATGCCAGTAAAATTCTTGGTCATAATATTAAGAAATACAATATATAAATTGAAAATATGATTGCTTAAAATTTGAAAATGGAAGTGAAGCCATTTGCACAGGAGTCAGAGTTTAACATAATCTGAAGGGAAAGGCTCCAAACCAACTGTTTATCTTTCAGGTTAACAGAAGAAAAAAAAAATTGAAAAAAAAAAAAGGAAAAAAAAAAAAAGAAGCATAGTTTATCCTTAAAGATAATGGGCAGTTTTGCTTCTTCAGGTAGAATGTATTCCCAGTGTTTTCAGGTTCTGCAGTGGAATTACATTACTGAGCATGAAGACTTCCCTTGTGAAGCTGCCCCATCGATTTTTTCTGCCTCCAAAATTATCCTCTTAAAAACATCAACGGCAGTCTGCAAAGAGAGAGCACAAGTTTAGGAGGGAAGGTGGGGCTGCCCACTTACTGAAAGAATAACAAAAAACATGAGCAGTTTTATCAACTACGTCAGCAGATAAACACACATCCAATGCTTATTCCAAAAAAGTGAGGAGGGCAAACACAGTAATTTTAAAGGGAAGTGCAAACCCCCATCCCCAGCAATCCTCAGCAGGGAGGGCAGGCACAAACTGAGCCAGATTCACAACAGAGCTAATAACTGCAACCACCTTGCTTTGCATGGTGAGCCTGTCCTGAGTGACTGACAGCACAGAAGGTCTGGATGCTGTGCTGATCTGGAGAATAAACCAATCCGTTTGCTCTCAGGAATCTTTAAGATAATGAATAATTTTTCAGCTCTCAACAATGACTTTGCACAGCTCAGTATGAGGGGTGACTTTACTACTCCTGATTTTCTCACTGTCCCTGTGAGTAAGATCTGTACTACACACAGTGCAAGGACACCAGCAGAAAGCACAAGCTGAACTGTCACTGATATTGAGCAATATCCTTTGATAAAGTCCTCCTGAGAGAAAAGGGGTTACATTTTAAATAGCCTGAACTGCAAGACTAGAGCTTCAGTGTGTGAATCTTCGGCTTGGAAACGGTCTCCTGACCATCTCACACTGACATTTGATCCAACCTCTGGCCAACCACTTCAGGAATTCCCAGCACAGGAAAGTATATTCATTATAGAAAGAGGATAAAAAGGGGGTTTTGTTGGTTTTAATCAGCAGGCTGAAGAGCACCCTATGATTTATGGCTACATATTCTGATTTAACAGATGTTTTTCCACCTCCACAAGACATAATTCTTAACTGGATCACTTCCAAATTAATCTCATTGACTGAAGCCCCACAGCAATCTTAACAAGATTAGACTTAATGTTAGTTTCCTACATTTATACTGTTTGTGCACAGTACAATCTCTGGAACTATTTAAAGTACTTCACCAGCTGGAAAATAGGGTATTCCTCCACATAATGGAGTTTCCTGGAATCCCAACAGAACCTGGCAGCAGAGGCTTGTTTAGTTCAGTAATGATACAACACATTTCCTGGGCAAATTAAGGCTTTAAGAGAACCATGGCCAGGACTGCAATTGCTATCAAATTGCTTCCACTAATGAAGAGCTTCCTTTAATCTAAACCTGGTGATGCACTGATTTACAAACATACTGCACCACTGTTTCCTTAGAGCTGAAATTTTCAATGGCTTCAATTTAATACACAAAGTCTTTTTGCCCACGTTTCACAGCACCCATTAAAAAACCTCCACAACTTACTCTGTCAACCAAAAAGCTGCACATTGCCTGTCAAAGATGTGCTGTTTGAAGCACTAAGATGTAGGAGTTCACAGGGTTTGTTAATTCATTTCACAGAAAATACATATTCACTGGCAAGGTTTAATTACTGTCCTACAGCCTTGGAATTTGGCATTCAGCTCAAACGTGCTGAGGAGTTTTAGACTGAGCCTTTAAACAACACAGGGAGATGTTTTGTGACAAGGAGTAAAGGATGCAGCCAGACTTAATATGCATCTGCCTCCACATGGTCCAATTCTGGAATGTGGGTCACAACTAGCCCACGGGAAGGCATCTGGCTTTTCCCTTTCCCTTTGTCCCCAAGCAAAGCAGAGATGCCAGCCTGGGCAGCACCTGCTGCCCACAGGGACACCAGAGGCTCAGCTGCTGCTGCAGATGTGCCCTCAGCGGGAGCAGGACACAGCTCAGGAGGCAGATCCTGCACAGGCAGGGAGCTGGGGATGCGCTGCCAGGAGGCAGCAGGAAGGTGCAACCACCCAAATCCAGCCCACAGTGCCAGAGTCACCCTTTGGCAGCTGATTTATTATTTCAAAGAGGAAACCCTCAGCTGCTCACACTACTGGTTTATCCTAGAACAGAACTGGGCACAGGAATTTGAATAATAGCCAGGTAAAAGAGGGTTGTTTCCCCCATCCTTGCAAGTTCAAACATGCCAGATCCCTGGATTCCAAACTGTTCTGAAGCATTTACTAAGCAGAGCATCCTCTGAGCTCCAATATGAAGCTGCCCTTGAAAAAAGCAGCACAACCAAGCAACTGCTTTTTAAGAGAGCTCCATTTTGGTATGAAGCAATTTTTTTTCCTACTTCCTTGCTCCTTTTGCAATTTATCTAATGCATTCTGCATAACTGGATGGACACAATTTAGCTGCTTGTTACTTCCTAAATTCTTCCAGTAGAAGTTGGGTCCCAGCTTCACCTGGGTTCAAGACCACTTTGGATTCTGGCTGCATTTCCAAGAGTGATGTTATTGCACTGGGATTAAGATGAAGCACTCTACCACAGCCTAGGTGACACTGCATAGGGAATTCCACAAGAAAGGACTTGAAGCTCCTGAAATTAGCCAAAGCAGTGCACCATGGCTGGTAATAATTAAGCAGACTGAGAAGACATGACAGTACCAGCCCAGCAGTCATCTCAGAGAGGTCTCTTCCATTGTCAGGATTGCCTTCCCAAAGCCCAGGGATTTCCCTTGATGACTGATGTGCTGGTGATATGCAGGCTCCTCCCAAAGTCCTACCAGGTCACCCAGCTCTGCAGGGGCTGGCACATACTCAAGTCTATCTGACCTTGAGAACTCCTGCCAGCCACAATCATTTATCATCAACACAGCTTTAATCTTTGCCTCTCTCACCTTCCATCTACTCCAAGTCATGCCACTTCTGGGACATGTTATCTTTTGATAACTCTTGGCAGAATATGGATAGTTAGTTTAAGTTAATCTATAGAACTATTTTAGTTGCCCAGTATAATTGAGTTATGCTCCTTGGACTCTCACAGATGCTCCAAAAACGATTTTTGGGGGACTGGGGGGGGGGGCAAAGCAGGAAGATAGAAAAGGGGGGAAAGAGTCTTTGCCATCAGGGACTCCCTCTCCTCACCACTGTGAAGAACATCATGTACACAACCCATCTCAGACCAGGCACCAGAAATTGTTACATTTCTGCTCCAACTCCTCCAAGTACACATGGGCTTGGTTTCAGAGAGAATTAACAGATATACCCTCAGTCAAGAAGCTTTGAACTCTCTGCTCAAGTTCCAAATCCCTCATCCAGTTTAGCTCATGCCCCAAGCATAAAGCAGCTTTCTGTTAAGCAAACAGAAGCTGAAGCACTTTTGGAAGGAGTTTGGAATTAATCTGGATAGTCAAGTTACATCTGCAGTACCAAGCCAGTAAAGGTGATTATTTGGATGAACCTCAATGCACAAAGTGCCAACAGTCTTCTCTTTCCAGTAATGTTGGCTTACATAAGGTGAACACTCAGTACCAGGAAAATGACAACACAGCTTGTTACCAAATGCAAAACAAACCCTTTTCCCCCCACCCCCAGACCAGACACAGCTTTAGCTTCAGAGGAAGAGAAGATGCCCTGTCCTGACAGAAGTCTATGTATCAGCTCTTTTGGTCCTGTCACATTAGGGTTTGGAGGAGAAAACCCAAATGAGTTCAGAAGTGCTCCTGGTCCAGCTCACAGGGAGGGATGCTACAATGCCTGGTGTCTCCCCTTCCCCCAGCACCCCACAGCTCCAGACTCCACACTTGGCTCTCTAAACTCAATCTTCCACCTCTTCAGAGCTGGAGATGTGTGAGAAGAATGAGGCAGCTGTGCCAGTGTTGGGCTCCTTCACAATTTATTCCACACATCCCCAGCCTCCAAAGGAAACACCCAGAGAGCAGCAGGATGGTGCAGGCTGCAGGCACCCATCTCAGAAGTGACATCTCATCTGCCAGACTTCTGAACATGGGCAAATTTACCAAGTGTATTATAGAGCAGGCATGAAGCAGGAATTGTGTTCAGGCACCTGCCTCTAACAACCTGCTGCTAAAGGCAGAGGGATGGAATTCACAGTGACCTGTGATCACTGTTCTGAAGGGTCCTGCAGAAAGGAAGACCTTTGACAGACAGAATGTACAGGATTTCTGAATTCTTCTGGTGGGATTTGTACAGACTGTCCAGGATTCTGAGTATCTGACATACAATTGCCATTCTGATTTCCCTGAAGGGTACCATGTTTGATATATAAACTCCAGCTGGCAGCTTAACTGAATACAGGAGCACAAATAAATGGCAGTACAGGGGACTTTTATACAGGGCATACCAAGCATCCTACAAAGCTTGTAGCTGCTTTAAATACATAAACATGACTTTTTTCTTCTTGGTTCAAGAGCAATAAAAACTCCAGAAAATGTATCAGTAAGATATTCTTTTGCTGGATATGAATTGCTGTGGTGTTGCACATTGTGAACATATGCCAAATGAAAAAAAAGCACAGGCAACAGCTTTGCCTAATCCAGAAGTTATTTAAAATAAAGGGGTGGAAAAAAAGATCAGACATTTTTAACAGGTTTATTCTTTACACTGTCAGTTTATTTGGTATGCATTTGAAGCTCTCCAACATACTGAGAAGATATTGTGAAATTTCATGCTTCCATAATGCCAGTTTTGACAAGGTTAATCCAAGTCTTAGCCAGAAACAGAAATACTGATAAACTAACTGCAAGTGTTCCATATCAGGTGGCAAAATATAATCCATGTTTTTCTTTCAGGGGAAAAAATCCAACTTTACTCAAGTAACTTGCAGAATTGCTGACCATAAACATCAGACAAAATGATTATTGCCCCATTAGAGAGACTGAGCCTGCCCAGCACCTTAAACATGAGGTTCATCCTCTGACACCAACCCACTGCTCTGGCAGCAGTGGCTCCTGTTTGAGGTAACAGACCCTGCTCCACCCACCCTGTGGATGTGAGTTTTTATTTGTCACTAAGTGTTCTGATATGTGCAGTGAAGCTGAACTTTCAGTTCTTCACTTCCTCCTCCCATTGACAGTTGCAGGGAAAAACTTGTGTACATAAAGCTGAGTGCAGACAGCCATTCTGCTTCCATCTCCACAAAATATCTGTGCAGTGCATGCAAATACTTCAGCTTCCTTTATTTAGTGGAACTCTGAGTCATCCATTACACTGCTATTTGAATAAAGTGACTCTTAAATCCATTACCTGATTTTCTTTAGCAGAAGATTCCAAGAAAGCTGCGTTCCAGGATTCTGCTAAAGCTTTCCCTTCTTCATAGCTGATCACCCTGATCAGAGAAAGAAAAATATGTTTCTTATAACTTGCAGAAGAATTGGAATCTGATATGTCAAGAAATACCTCAAGAGTACCAAAGCACTTAAGTGCATTGTAATAGGAATTCTTGTGAAGTCTGATCCAAAGCATTTGCTTTTGGCTGCTGTCAAATGCACTTCTGGGCCAGGTAAAACTGCTCTGTGACCCAGAAGAGCAGCTGTCCCAAAGCATTGCTTTGTTTTCACAATCTGTAATATCATCTGGTATTGCTGTTGTGACAAATACACTTCTGTTACTTACTTTGAAAAAAAACCCAGAGTGTTAAATGACTGTCCCTGGAACCTCACAGCAAAAATCAACATTACAACAGAAGTTCACGGTTCGTAGTTCACATTCTGGACACAACTCCTTTGCCAGTAACTTATTTTAACCTACAACTTGATTTTAGCTCTGGAAAGCCAAGAAAAAACCCAGTGTGTGCAGCCACAGGAATGCAGGCTGCTGCCTTGCATTTCTCACATTCTGGAGTTCACATACCGTTCCATATGCAGGTCTTTTTTATTTCCAACCAGCATAATGGGTATTCTGTGAAAGAAAGTTCAGAACTTCAGAACAGTTACAGTATACTGAACAAAGCACTAGCAACATGCCTGCAATGAAATGAGATGAAAGTGTCACTACTTACTGGACTTTTCCCACCATATCCAATAACTTGCCATGGATAACTTTTATCACTTCAAAACTGCAAAATAAAGGGATGAAGTCACACATGCACTCTGATGTTTATCCTCAATACCCAATACACAAGCAATTAAATGCACATGTAGTGTTTAAAACTTACTCTATGTATGCACAACTACACAGATGCTGAGAGTCTTACCCGTTTGTGCAACAACGGCAAACTGGTCCCAGCAGCAAGAGACCAGCCTGAGCCTGCCCTTACACCTCCCCAGTCATGGTATTTGCAGAAATAAATAACATTACCCAGGACTGATGCAGCTAACACAGAATCACCCCAAGTCCCTCCCACCTCTCATCTGGTTTGTATCTGCAGTGAGGAATTTAACTGCTGCAGTCCAACAATCCTGGATGAGTATGTCAAATTAAAGCAAATTGGAAGAAAAAGTAATTAGTTAGGCAAGCTCCATCATTGTTTTTAAAAAACATTTAGTTCATACATAATTACTAAGTTTTATTTATGCAAAAGCCAAAAGGAGCCAAAATTCTAATTTTCTGTGCAAAGTGAGTAAAGTGATCTGCAAGATGGCACTGAAACAGTGATTATTCAAATATTCTTTGTCTGTTCCCCTACCACATAGGTGAAGTTTGGATGACAGAAGGTAAGAAGCAGTACTGTAGGATATCAAATCAAAAACCTCACTAACAAAATCCACTGCATTTGACATTCAGTACTTCTGAGAACAAGCTATAAACAGGGTTGAAGAGCAGATGTGGCACTCCTCTGGTTACACTATGGAAAAAATGCTGGTACATGAAGTGCACAACTTGGATTTAAGAGAGGCAGAGGCTCAGGGATGAGATACATAACTAGACAGCAGAAAAGGGACCAAAAACTTCCCAGTTTCCAAGGTTGCTAGCTACAGGCAGTGTCTTGACTTGCACTGCATTTCAATTAGAATTGAAACCCTTAAAAATAGAGCAGCAATCAAACACACTTCCAGCTCAGAGCAACCAAAGACCTGCTGCCTAAAAACACCATTCAAAGCAGCAAAACCTCTCCCTTCTGGAACAATAAGCTCTACCACATTTAAGATGAATTTTCTGTCAAGCAGGCCAATTTGTCTGACTGCAGCAGTAATATTTGAGGCTGTGTGGAACACAAAGCTTCCCCATGCTCAGCTAATAGTTTCAGTGTATCCTATCAAGAAAATGAGTTCTTTGTAAACAGAAGTGTGAGTTAGTCTGGCACAAATTGCTACTGGTAACTCAAGTAGGATACTACAAATTACACTGGGGAAAATGTGGAATCAATGAAAAATGTGAAATCAATGAAAGGATTTTAGGGACATAAGGAGCTTATGCTGAAAGAGTGTTAGTGAAATTCTAGTCTTGAGAACTCATCTTGGATGATGATAACTATTAAGAAAACAAGAGTTAAATGGAGCTTGGCTGTGACAGAGTTGAGAGGCATCAGTACACACAGAACTACGTGACCCTGCAAACTGAAAGAATAAAAATGCTACCAAAACCCATCTGCTAGAGACCACAAAACTTTCTCAGTCTGAAGCAACAAGAAAAATCCTAGCACCCTACCCACAGGCTAACTGAATCCCTGGGACAGTACCATCACTGCTTCCTTTCCCCAGTTAGGTGTGCTGCTTCCAGCTAAGCCAGAAAAACACCACAGCTCTTGAACCTGGGCTCTCCATGGCCCCACTTTGGGTACCTATCTGCTTGTCTGAGATTGTTCACAAGCTTCCTTTCTTAGTGAAAATACTACAAATAAAAAGCTGATCCTTGTTAACACACCAAGATGGAAGCCACAGGAAAAGTGCTACTTAAACTGCAACACAATTCTGACACAGAAACAAGTTGCTAAGAACTGCCAGGAATTAAATTGGCTCAACCAATTAATGTTCTAGAAAGCTTTCCAAATTAATAAGGTTGAAAGGAGCAAGGACAAAAAGGAGCAAGGACTGACCAATCCAAAAATAGCACCATCACATCAAGCTGTGAAACAGAGATTTGGAGACTGTAAGAGGTCCCTTCTAGTTCTGTCAAGCAAATGGGTTACAGCAAACAACTCAATGTATGAAATACAAAAAAAACCCCCATTACTAGCTGTCAGATAAATGTGTTACACAAAATCATGGAACCTAGCAAGATACAAAATTGGAATTTAATTAAGCTGAACTAGAGCAAAAGCCTTCCAGTAACCTTGCTGCTGAGAGCCTGGCAATATGAAAAATGTAGGGCATTAGCTTTCATTCAAGTCCTATTTAAACTTCCCACTGGAGGTTAGCAGGGAAGCTGATAACTTTAAAAAGAGCATTTCTGTTAAGTCTGCTGTCAAAGCTCTCACCCAGCTGGATCAATATTTGGATCAATATACACACTTTGACAGAAGTCAGGACAGATGAAGACTGTGATCCCATTGTCAGGGCAAGTCATCAAAGCTACCAGAACACTGTGGAAGATCTTCCTATCACCTAAACACTGTCTTGATACAGAACATCAAGAATTGAACAAGACAGGATCATGGACACTGAAATTTTAAGGAAGAAACAACAACAACCACCTTGGAATAAACTGATCAAGAATAAATACTGATGAAAAGATTTCTGACCTACAGCCTTAACCTACTCTGTCCTGTTTGTATTTTTACCATAACTTGGTGTAACTGACTGAATGCATCCACAGAAAACGTTAATTTCTTCACCTGGTGAGCTCAAGAGATCATGAGGCAACAACTGGAGTGCCTGAGAAAGAACACACCCTTTAGCTGCCAAAGAGGGAACAGCACAGGTTGCAGAATCCCCTGAGGGATGTACACTGGTTTCAGTCAAAGGCAATTCTGTCCTCACAGCACTCATTTATCAGTGAACTTTTCTGTATTTGCTTTAGGAGTGAAGCATTGTCTACTCAGGCAGAGAATACTGACTCCTATTTCATACAAGTTACCCAGCACCAACACTCAATCTCTCAGTGAAAAACCCAGACCCAGAGAGAGTTTGGTAGTTTAGTATCTCTAGACACACATAAAAGCCTAACACGTGCTTGCCCTTCTCTACTTCAGAACTGAAGATGAAAAGCAAGAATGAAGAACTGTGAAATCTGTTCAACATTAAAGACCTTGCAAGCAGCAGAAGTTTGTAACCAGACTGTATCCTTCCTTTGAGAAGGAAAAGAGCCAACAGAAAAGTTGCTTTACCTGTATTTTATGATAGTCTATCAAAGAGCTTGAAATGACCAGTTTTGTTTGATTCAGAGGAAAATATATGAAACACTTCAGCATTTGTAAAAAGCTCATCAACTGCCTTGAAAGTAGAAGGGCATCATCAACTTCTCCTGTACTTGATGAGACTGAAATGTCTAAAGTTTTAGTCATTTTCTTCAAACAAAAACTTCAGAAAACACTCAGTTGACTTAATAAAGATGTTGTACAATATTAGAAAACCAACAGCTACTCAAGGATAAGCAGTATTTAAACAAAGCAAGATGTCCAGAGGAAGGGAGGAGATAACAGAGGATGACAAAGCCACACAGAGGCTGATGTGTCCTGCATGACTCCAGGTAAGATGGACTCTGGACAGGGAACAGCAAGGACAAGAGGGACACTCTGGGACAACCTCCAGGGAGGATTATTTGCTGCAGCATGCCAGGAGAGGGTTTGCAGACCAAAAGCCATCTATTGCTGTTTATATGAGTATTTCTATGGTTAATCAGGACAATTCAATGCAAGAAGTCAAAGGAATCTCAGTACTATAAAAAGCCACAAAGCTGAAGGAGGGATCGAGCAACTCCTTGGGTACTTCACCTAAATGTACAGTGCCTTCAGCTGTGTATTTATGTCTGCCTTTCTATCTGATGCAAGAGCAAAGAACTCATTTCTGTAATGATCCTTTGTACTTCTTACACCTCAAAACAATGTAGTTTAACACTGTCTCATTCCTCACATGGTACCTTGCACATGAGTCTGCAAAGTGTCTGTGACGTTTGGGTCCGAGGGCACATTTCTGAAAAAACATTAATATTCACTCCTACTATACTTCTAAAGGAGAAAGACTAATTGAAATAATCACACAAAATACAGCAGAGGCAGTAGCTAAACCCAGAAACTATTTAAAGAGAAGAACACAAACAGATTTTATTACCTTTTTATTGATGTGACTGAGTAAACAAGAATGTAGCCATTGATGTCTATGGAGTATGTCTGAGGAAATATGGAGTATTCATCCTGTGGAAGGAATATTGCAGTTAAAATTAAGGGTGACACAGTTCAGACCTTGATGCCATTAGATCAACATCAGTTAAGTTGGTCACATCTCTAAGACATTTTGTATAGGAAGTACATTCAGAATTTTTTATCATAATGTCACAAGCAGCATCTTAACCAAACCTAGAGAAGGCTAAAAGTCTATCTGTATACCCTACAATTTAATCTACAGCTTTTATGGTTTATTCCCTCTAAGACTATGGATGAGCTGAAGCTCTTCTCAATCCTCTTATCCTGCTTAATTATCTGTTTGTATTAGTACAAAACATCCACTCTGTTCCACCACTAATTAGTAATTATGCCTCTTATCTTGCTGGTGATACATTTCAAAATCTTAATTTCAACAGCTGACAACAGGATCTAGCAGTTTGCAATTTCAAATGACACTGATCACATCTAAATTACCAAAGGAATCTGGTAGGAAATGAATAATTGTGGCTAACTTATGCTTATCAAATGCAAAAAATACAGTTATTAGTTGCATTATGACAACTGTAAGTTTACATTATAGGACAAGTGTTTACATAAATAGAAAACCAGACAAAGCCACCAGAAACTTACTCAGTGAATTTACTACCCCTCTAGAAAAGGGACTGACCAAACAGGCAAACAAACCAGACTGATATATTGCAAATAATGCAACACAAATACTATGAATCCAATGTTAAAAACCTGTTCCAACAAACATTCCCAGGAAACATTTCCATTTTGACAAGAGCCATACTTCCTAATGTATGAGTTCTCAATTTGTTAAACCTATGCTTTTGAAGATGCTAATTTTAGCTGAAGATCAAATAACCTCTCTGTTATTGTCATGGCTGAACAGATGGAGCAGTGCAATCACATAGCTTAAATCTAAGACACCCAAAAGGAATCAAACTTCCCTCACTGGCAGAAGAGAAAAAACTCTTTATAAATCAACTCCACAGATCCAGCCAAAAAAAGTTTGAAAGAATAACACTTGGCAAAAGCTGCCTTTATTGCTACACACTGAGGGCAGCCCTCCCCCATGTTCTCTGAAATGCCGAAGTGCCACTCCAGCTGGACATGAAATCCCAAAGTCAATATTCAGAAGGGATCTGAGCTAAGTCTGTGTAAAAAAGGTGAAAGTGCAACTCTGCAGTGGCTTGACTTTACCTGGAAATTCCCAGGACTGCCCCAGCTGGAATTTGGTGTTGAGTAAGACTTCCTTTTACCCCCCTCTTCTGTGACCCTGTATCAAGACCCTTGCTGGACTGAACTGCACAAAGCTCAGTAAATAACCAGAAAAGTAAAGAGGCACAGGACAGAGGATGAATACCAAGAAAAACAAGTGCCATAATCTCAACTGTTCCTAATTCATGGCTTTATTTTTAGCTCGTTAGGAGATGGAAGGCAAGCTGCTATGCTCACTGAAACTCATGGGTCAAATTAAGAAATCTGTCAAGTGATAAAACAACATTGCTACAACTTTTCAGGCCACAGCCAGGTTTTCAAAAGTATTGAACAAATCTGCAATACAATTCTTGCTGTGCTGTATGCACATGAGGACTCTCTATGGGCCATTAAGCAAGACAGACTTGAGAAAGAAATCTGTCCAAGCCACACCTTCCAAAACCCAACACCATCTCCCCCCTCTAAGCCTGCGTGCCAGAAATCAAAGTTCAAATCATTCCATGAAGAATTAAATCTGAAAATAACCACAGGCTGGGAAAGAAGCTATTTAGGTTCCACAATACTGTATAACATGAAATCAATCCTCAGCACTAGAGGTATGTTAGTGGTGAGTCACACGGCCTTCCCAGAAGGCAATTTCCTCCTCCAAGAGGAATTTGTCTCTTATCACTACACTCCACAATCAGAGCTGTAATGCAAGTGCACTTCCAATGGCACTGAGTGACACTTACAGGGCTGCTGCTGCTGCTCACACTGCTCAGCTGCCCCTCTCACCCTCTGCTCTGCAGAGCATTCCCCACCCAGCAATCCTGCACCAGTGCTGTGCTCAGACACCTCTGAGTGATTACACAGCTGCTGCTGAGCACCAAGGGCTGACACCTTATAAACACAGCAAGGCTGCTCCCCAGTGACACAGCTCTCTTCCAAGAAAGCAATCAAACATATCTAGAGAGTTACAACCCCTCTGAACATCCCAGCTATGAGCAGGTATCCTTTAAAGCCTTAAGTACTGGCAGCATATTTTACAACACTAACATTGTTTAACACTACTCATAGCTTGGAAAAACCCAAAGGCATTGTATGAGATCATGGAAGGCAAGAGCATGTAAGCAAGAAAAAAAAAATTAGGATAACAACACAGGGGTCTAATTAGTGGTCCCTGATGAGTTTTTTCCCTCATATAGAGTCTCTCAACAGACACAGCACTCTGGTGCACGGGTTCAGCCAAGCAGCAGTGTGTAATGAACCCCTGGACCTGTAAATAATGAAGAGCTGCCCTTGCCAGAGCTCCCAGCAGGCTGCAGGACACACTGCAGGACACGTGCTCCCTGCTCCTCACCCCCTCCCTGTCATTACAGACACACACATGAACCACCAGGTCAGAATGCAGCCAAGCTGCAGCAGTTCACTGCTAACTCAGTGAGTACCAGCTACATGGATCTGTCTGCTCCCCATGACTGCTCCATGGATACAAGCCATGGTGGTGGAGCTGGAGCAGACAAATACTAAAAAGCCATGAAAAATCTCCCCATGGTTCACTGAAGCACCCTTTTTCATCAAAAGCAAGACTGCTCATTTACTCTGTAAATATTACTCAAGCTACTGATGAACTTATGGACATCAGAGTTAAGGCAGTTTCCTCTCCCCTTTTTTAGGTACTCATTCAATAGATAGGGGGAAAAAGAACTCAACCCAGTAACAAAACACAAACCAAAGCCTTTAAATAAACACTACAGAATAAGCTCTTTAGTGACTAAACAACAAGTCAGGATAATTTTAAGTTAACTTTCACCTCTGAATGCACAGTCACTACCAACTTAGCCCAACAGGAATATCAATACCTGCTGTCATAACTTAGAAGAAAGATTCAAAGAAAGATAACTTACCTGGCCAGCAGTGTCAACCAGCTGAAGATGATATTCTTGGCCATTTACTGTGATCAGCTTTGTAAAAGCTACAACAAGAAATACATAAACAGGTCAGAATTACACACAAGGAAGAGATCAGAAATCACTCATTTGTGCTATCATCAGCCAAGGCAGGAAGTAAAGAACTCCAGTTACAGGTTTTTAAGTAGCAATAAAAGGCTAATCAGATGCTGTACTTATAACTAGTCTACTGCAGGTAGCAAAACTCATAAATTGAATTTCAGATTTCAGATGATTCTCATTCTGGATGCAGCAGCTTATTCTTTGCTCTCTTAAGTAAAAGAGGGAATAAGAGGAATAAAAAGGGGGATTTACATGCATTTCTACAAGATCCAGACAATCACTATTTGTGGTAGCACAAGACACTTAAATTCAATTGGGATCAAAGCTAAGTTTGAACTTATTATAGGCTCTTCTCCTTGGTTTCCAAACAGCTTAGCAAGATTAATTTCCTAAAAGTAAATGCCATGAGTAAGTGATCTGGACTGAAAAAAGGAAAAATCTTTGGGGCTAAAACACACAGAACTTTTGATTACATTAAACCCAAATGATGACAATTAGCTAAGTTCACCATGGTACTTTTACATTTGCTGCAGCTAGCAGCCCATGCAGTCCCCAGCACAAAGTACATTCAGTCCCTAGAAGTGATGAGAATTGCTGCTCTTCCTCAGAGTCATGAAATGCCAACACACTGTGAGCCAAGGAATCCTACCCAGAGTTTGTGTTATGCAACTGCAAAAGCAAACAGTGCCACAGCTCCTGCAGGAATAATGTCCCAAGCAGAGCACACAAACCTGGCTCTGGATGTCTCATGTGGCCTTTGAGACACACTGCAGACACCACTGCTGGACAGTGCTGACACACTGAGTAAAGTCTGTGTTATCCTCTAGTTGGGGTGGTTTTCCCAACTAGTAGCAGTCCTCAGAGATCTCATCTGCCCCTGCAGTGATGAGCAGGGCAACAGAGTGAGATGAACAGGTCCCTTAGGTGAGCTGAGCTGGCCAAGAGCTTCCCAAAGCCGCCCAGCTCAATGTTCCTGACCCTGCTGTGCAGTCCCTGCCCATGCCTGGAGCAGATGGAATTGGCCAGCTTTCCTCCTCCCAGCCCAAGCCTGCCCCTCTGTCAAGTCCCCACAATGTGAGCATTATCTTGAATAAGTGGGCTGAAATAGCTGAAACTGGAGGTTTTAACCCACCTCATAAATCCAATCCTCGAAAAAAAGGAGTAATTCAAACAGCAAAGCCAACCTAACAATGTCTAAATCAACAGTGTCAAGTGTACCCATAGTTCCATTACAAAATCAGCAAGTGACATTTGAAATGGAGCCTCAAAGAAAGCTCCTGCCTTACCCTGGTTATTCCCTAAGAAAGCTGCTTTAGCACATGTACTGCCTCAAAATCAGTCTGGATGCTGCTGTTATTGCTGCAAACAACTAGAAGTTTTAGGTTATGAAACACAGATCCACAGTGGCTCTTTGCCTTGGAAGAATGCTGTGATGGGGACAAACTGAGGCAGTGTTGCTATATTCAATATCCCTGCTTGGAGTCAGAGGGAAAACAGGCTCCTCTAGAGACACACTGCATTTACAGGTGTGCACTAACAGCCTCTCCAGTGTCCTGACACTGCACATACACATCAAAGCATCTGCACTCAAAGTAACTTCAAGGGCATCATGAAGTTAATATTTAAAAAGGGACAGACAGCAGTTTTTTCAGACTGTTCGAGAAGCCAGCAATGATGTCATCACCATCATTACAGAAAGCACAGTGTGACAGAGACAGGAGAAGGGGAACAGTGAAGGAGTCAGCACAGCCTGGTGAGGAGAGCTGTTAATGCAGTGCAGAGCCTTGCAGCACCAAGCACAGCCCACTGTGTGAAGATAAATCTGCCTCAATGAAGTCACAACTAATGACTTCCATTTCTTTGCTGAAGCTTTTTAAAACCATTCCTAGTTAAGAATTTAATTTTGTGAAAAACCTGGTTCCCTTGATCCAGCCAAAGTGTTCATTTCCAATTCCATCACCTATCATCCTAGGACTTCTGCTGTGCTTGTGCACAAGACAAACAACAATACAATCCACAATCCTTGCACAATTTAGCTCTTCCTGGTAGGCCAAGGACACTTTTCAGCAGACTTGACCTCACATTAAATCATAATGTGAGCATCTCCAAAACACTGCTCATTAACTGGAACATGGATTTTGGAACAGGACACTCTTTCTCCTTGCAACATATAACTCCAGTGATCATCACTACCTGAAGATGAAGCACATTGCAATTAGACCAGCAGGAATGAAATTATTTGCATGTGCAACTCCATGACAGCTGCTGAGGGAACAAGCCATTCTGCTAGGAAAAAAACCCCAAACAAACAGTAACAGGCAAAGAAATGCAGCCTTTAGATCAACAGTGATACTGAAGAAAGGTACAAGGGTGCTGTAACATGATTGCCACAACATGGCTGGTAGCTAAATACAATCACCTCCCAAGCTTTCCTTGGTTACCACCTCCTGCATCTCTTTCTACCTGCCTGCATTCCAGAGTCAATGCCTGCCACTAATCCACCAGGACATCTTTCACAACACTGAGATGTGTGATGCAAGAGAGCTATTTTTAGTTTTCCTCAGAAGCCTCACTTGCACCCCTTAGAAGGCTGCTCACCAGCAGCTCCACAGAAACACAGCTCACCCTTCCAGTGCAGTTGCCAAGGAATGGGCAGAAGTTTAGCCTTGAAGATTCTCTGTCAGACTCATCCAAACCTACACTAGCAGGGGTCCTCCAGCCCTTTGCCCCTTTCTAATATGCTTCTACTCACATTTGTATTAAAAAACATGGGATGGAGGCAGGAAGCATGGGGGAAGATGTTCCTTTCCTTAGGGAGCTAGTGAGGCAATGTAGGGGAGAAAGGGAGAGCACAGAGCTGTGAAACAGTGCTAGAAGGCCCTCAATAACTGCAACAAAAATTAAAAAGCAGCCAGGCAGGCTTTGGAGGACACATTTGGGACCTGGGCACTCAAGTAATTTTACTTGCAACACAAGACATCCCCGCAAAGATGATGTGGGTGGAGTTAAGTGCACATCTTCATTCCCTGATCTTTCTGACCTATTTGAGTTTCAAATTCAGCTTCTAGTTTTCATTCCTGTAAAATTGTTGCACTTTAATTTGCACTGGTCTTGGTTGATGTGAGCTGATCTGCCTGCAGAGCCCCATCCAGCCCAGTGTGCACACAGACTCCCTGCACACACTCCTGCTCCCCAAGGATCTTTTTTCTCTTTCCAACACTCCTGAAAGCAGCAGCTCCACTCGTTTCCCAACCTGGCTGTCTCAGGAACAGCCACCCATTGGGATGTCACTCCTGTTGGGACATTCACACAGGGAAAGTCTCTTCCCAAAGCAATTATCTGTCACCTCCACTGCTGCCACAAAAGGATACAAGTTACTCTTCCTGACACTCAAGTTTGGTAGAAGGAACAGAAATAAATTAATTTTCTGGTGCTGATGTAATATAAGCAAAGGAAAATGTAGCAGAGAAGCTGTCCTAACCTTCACAAACAATAAAGAAAATCTGATGCACCTTATTTTCCTTTTATCACTTCCAAAGGCAGAGATTCTCACACTTAAAACCTGATATTTCTACAATATTAGGTTTTACTCCTATTGCTCAAGGCTTATAAATGACACAACTTGTTCCTGTAAGAGCTTGATTACAGCTTGACTTACAGTTTAGCTTTGCAGGTCAACATTTTGTGCAAGTTTTATTATTTGAGGACAAAAATTATAAAGAGTGCATTACCAGCAGTACTGCAGCTTCCTATAATTTCCTCATTGCTGATAGAATACTGTAACAAATTACCAAGAACAAATTTCTGGAGACAAACCAGAAATCACACAGGCCAGACTATCCTTTGCTATGTGTGCTTTTCATGTCCAAGTTTTGTCACATGTGTAGACCCAACCACCAGATGAAACTGAAAAGGTTTTACACCTTATTATAATGCCCTGGAAAAACCAACATTCTCCAACACTGTCCATAGTATAAGAATCAGGATTTTTCAACCCTTTTTGCCAACACCATCCACCAAATCTGAAATCACAAGCCAGGAAAAGTCTAAGAGTTGTTCATGTACTTTGTATCTTTTGACCCTACACAGACTCAGAAACACAGCTGGGAGTGTCCAAAGACTTCACTGAACAAAGATTTCTATTTAGAAAAAAAAAAAAAAGTATTACATTCTTAAGTCAAAAGATTAATTTTTTACTTAACCCATCAAACCCAGTTTCACATATGTCTTAAAAAATTTTTCAGTAAGTTTTGAATTTTAGTGTTAAAATTACAATGTGTTCTCTTGTCTGTTCTTCACAGAAGCATTTTTGACATTATCAGACCTTCTGGGGCTTAAAGATGGGACAGATTTCCCACTGTTTTGAGCCCCAGGGCATAACTTTTATCTTTTGAACCTTTACTTCCCAGCAACAATTTCTGATGTCAGAAGGACCCTTCAATTCTCTACCTTTCAGAAAGCAAACTCCCCCAGCCATGCCACAGATCACAAGACTTACACCAAATGAATAATGTTTGTTTTCCAAACAAGTAAGAAACCTAATGAAAAGTGAAAAAGTTAAGGGTTTTCAAGATGTCCCCTCCCAACAAATCTTCATGGCCAGGACATGCTCAATGCTTAGAATTCAAATCAAACACACAGTCCAGAGTAGGAGAGTCAAATAAGAGCAAAATTCACCTGCAGGGTATTTTTGTATGGTTCAGAAATGCTGAAGTTGTGAGACACACAACTACAGAGTTACAAACAGCATCAGACAACAGGTAAAGGATGAAACAAGACAAATCTTGTACCAATGTATCAAAATCCTAAAACAAGACACAGATTCAGACTTTGACTCTGTGTCTCTCAGTCTTTCTTCATTCACATGCAACTGCATAAAACTAAAAGATTACTTAAATAATTTTCATTTATATGGCATAGACAGTGAAAAATAACCTGCCCCAACTGAATTAAGATTATAAACACAGAAACTTAAACCCCAGTATTTTGCTAGCAGCCTTAATTCAAGACATACCTGACTTATAATTCAAACAAAGTAGAAAAAGATGATGGAAAATGTTAGTATTAATATCTGTATAAGAGCTAACATTCAGACCAAGGGCCAAATTATCCAGTCTGACTTAAAATATAAAGCAAATATGGAGTTTCTCAAAAAGTAGCATTTGAATTTTAGTTCTAAGCAATAAAATAATTCCAAGTAAAAGATTCTGATAGCTACTGATTTGTAATTATGTACCACATATAAATATATTAAAAAAAACCCTTTTTCTGTTGATTACTTCATTCAAACTTCCAGAGCATAGGTTTAACATCCTACTGCAGAAGTTCAAAACACTAAAAATGTGCGCTTCACAAGTCATTAAAATACAAGAACCCCAGAGCTATGATCACGAAACTACTTTCATTTGCCACATGACTAAAGTAAGCCAACATGATCAAATTACTCAGCCCAGCACTGCAGTTGTTCAAGTACTTTCTGGCCACTGCTAGCTCAGAAAGAGGTGGCTGGATTGTAATGAATGCCAGGTAACCTCTGAAATGACTTTTTCCTCTTGGCAGCATTTTAGCATTACTGTCTTTACTCACCTGCTATGCCAGCTACTCAGAAAGGTACTAAAATTATTTTTAAAAGAACTGCTAAGAGAAAAATAACCACTTGAGAAGTCAAATACCCAGTATTTGCAGCAAGCTGATTGTGTAGCAGCCTTGTTATCCAGCTGCTGGAAAGGAGGAATTGAAAAGATTATCATGCTATCATAGCCTACCTTCTAAGTGGTTTAACCCTGATGGGTATTGCTGGCTTTCTGTTCATCTGGGTATACTGACCTTATGTGAGACTCTGGAATATTTGTATTTGGTGGCACATTTTCATACAGTGTGATGTAAAGATTTAAAGTGTACATGAGGGGAAGCAGATGCTCAACAACACAGAAAATATAAGGAGGTGCATTTTAGCCAGATTCATTAGGTGTCTCTTCATTTCATGTTAAAAGTTCAGCTGTTTGAAGAAATGTGCACACAGTGATTTCCATGCTGCAGCAATGTAGCATTGGTACAAAAGAATAATAAAATGTCTGTGGTAATTAATGGACTTTAATGTTAATATGTAAATACCCACACAAGTAATATGTATAACCCCAATGGTTTCTGATATAAGTTGGTTTGGTACAGAAGAGGAGCTTGGCAGTTATTTACTTACTGTTCTCTATGGTTGGATCATATGAATCAACAAACTGTCCTTCCACAAACTGGATCGTCAGTGAAGATTTTCCTGTAAAGCAAAGGAAAGAAAAATCTGGAATGAAACAAAATCATCTGCTTGTTATCACTTCACTGCTTTCCAGTAGATACACCAATTTTTTATCTATCCAATGTGAGCTCTATGTGGTTCATTTAAACTATCTATACATGACAACTGACCTATTTTTAATTTAAGTGCCTATTTCTAGTAACTGGGTCTCCTGAACATATAAAAAGCAGTGCAAAAGCTGCTCAGCATATGTTCTGCTTTTGTTTTAACAGGGCATAATTTAAATTATTCCTCCAGTTTAAAAGGAATCTAAAAGCAGCAGTGCACGATCCTCATAGATCTAAATTTAACAAACTGATATACTTGGAACATTTTTCTGTCAAGAAGCAAGTAAAATTCAAAATAATTTTCAGTAACCACAGAGAAAATTTGGATCGAATTAGCCAAATTTGGTTTTACTAGGAGACTGGCCAGATTTCCCATGACAAAAGGATGATCTCAAAATTCTTGAGACCAATATACTCTCCTATTAATCCTCCCACTGCCACACCACAACAGGCCAGTGGATGCTGTATTTTAAGCAGTGACTGAAGTGGCATAATTGGATATTTCTTTAAAGCCATTTAACTGCTACTTTAGAAGACAACATTCCCCATTTCACTTCAAGAGTAATGCAAAGCACTGAACTTCGTAGCAGACTGAAAAAATGAGAACTCATTTAGTCCTGAAATATTTTAGAAGATGTTGAATCACATACATTGACCATAAAAAGCACCTTTAAAGCTCTGCAACTGAAGACTTCTCAAAGCATTACTGAAGCCTTAACAGAATTTCCATTACAGCACATCATGTACATCTGGGAATCTCCTAGATCCTATTACATTATGTTTACTGGACAAATACCCTCTTACAGAGATTGCCAAGTGCATTAGCTGCTCTGGACACGAGCACATTCTTCATGCTCCTTTATACTCTTTTCACCCTCAAGAAGCACAAACAAAATACAACCTCAAGTTAAAATTTTGACTCAAAACCACCCGACTCAGTGGAAACCTCTCAGTGACCTCTTAAGTAAGCAACATTGTGGTGGAAATATACAGTATCATTGTTTAAAAGAATAAATTGCTTTGGGTAGAAAAACTGCCCACTTCCAGAACTCAGAAAATGTTCTTTCCTAAGCATTCCTTCAGGAAATATTAAAAAAACTGTCTTCCATTTCATTCTCCGCCATGTTTACCCCTTTGCTCTCTCCTATCAATCATGACAGTTTATTCAAGAAACAATGCTAAAAAGATTTCCAGACAAACCCCACAAAGACCAACCATCACCAAGATTTTATCAAGTTGCTTTTTTCAACATCAAGTTCTTAAGATACATTTCCTGGTCTTCTTATCATGAAGGTGTCATGCTCACAATGCACGAGCTGACAGAGGACATTTCACTTTAAGCTGTTCCTCCAGCAAGGCTCACACACCCCACCCCCAAATCATCCCAATAAAGTCAGATTAAGGACTGAAACTGTGCCTCCCAGGAACTTTCTGAAACTGTGTATTTTGGACACCATTTAGAAAGTGAGCAAACTTCCAAGCTATTTCTCCTTTAGCTATAAACTTATGAAGTTGCTACCCAGAGTTCATGCTCCCAGATTCTTTGCCAATAGCAGCACATTAAGCACTCCATTTAAAAAAGGTTAACTACCTCTATACTAGGCTGTTAGATCCTCAAGGTAACAGAACTAAATTCAGTAAAGATTATAAGTGAACTTTTTTCCTGAACTAACTGAAAGACTTGACTGCTGCCTTCTGTCTGTGCTAAGCCTGGAAACTGAATAGCAGAAAGAAGTCAGAGCCAGCAGAAAATGCTGCATTTCACACCCAGCTGTATTAATTACTGCTTTCCTCCTAACAGTGACAGAAGAGGAAACAGATAAAACCAGTGTTCCAACACTCTCCTCCTAAATTCCTCCAAGCTTTATAACAAGCTTTCCAGTAATGATGTGTTCATGATCAGGAGGCACAGGGAAACTCTCCAGTCTGGGATTCAGCACCTACCCCTCGGGGAAGTGCAGGCAACTGTATCCCACTGAACCAAGGCTTCCATGGACACAGAAATCTAAACCATGAGTCATTAACACCCCGTGTGAGCAAGCAGCAGGCAGAACCCTGTGACCAACAGCTTGGCTTGAACTTTGTCCCACAGGTTTTATTCCAGGTCTTTGACCTATGCTCATGGACAGAGTGGAAATCGAGCTGACAGTTTAGCTCCTATCTGCTCTTGCCCCAGAGAGATCAGGCAAGGCTTTCAGCAAGGATTGCAACACAAACACAACCAGGGGACCCTGCCAATTGCCAACTCCATCTGGGGGCACAGCAGGGAACACAGGCTGTCTGCATGTGCAGGCACCAGGGACATACTTCAGCAGCACCAGGGAGTCTGACACCAGCAGCAGAGGCTTGATTAGCTGATTTCTCAAGGGTGCACACCTCAAAGAGGCTCAGCTCTAACATTCTCCTTTGGAATGCAGCCACACTTTTGCAGTTTGCTAAGCTTCTCCTTGTAGCATCCTCCATGCTGGTAAATTCAAGATATCCACTGTATTTGAGTTTTAGGAAAATAAATATCCATTGATAGCAAAGGGAGAAGTGATATGAGCTGAAGCAAGGCTGGAAGCTGGGTGCAGAGCTTTGCTACAGTGACTCAAAGTCCCAGGTACTCCATGGCAGAGTTGCAAGCAAAATCCTCCAAGTTTACTGACTCTCCCTCTCCCTGAAGGAACGGCACAGAAGGGAAGGGCTGCAAGAAATGGATTTCATGAAAGTTTAGAATATGAGTCCCAGGTAACTGAAAACTCAGCTTAAGCTGTCCAGAAGTACCCAAAGTGTATTTGCATACACAATTCATTATTTATGGTATTATGTGAGAGTGGTAAAGAAAAGAGTTTTCCACTGTCAAAACAGCAAAGGAGCAGATTTTCAGACAGAAATCCAGTTCAAAAACTAAAGCTATTGTGTTTCTGTTCATACACTAGACCACTTGCACCATAAAGAGGAACATCCCATAAACACTCTGACTTATGCCATCACAGCACATCAGTTTCAAATGCCATTGCAATTGTCAAGGCAAAACAATCGCCAAATTGTGTTTTACTCATCTTTTTACTACTTGGACAAGAGCTGTGGTATTTATAATCTAGCCCTAAAATTCAAGCTTTACAACACTAGGCAGTTTACCAAGCAGATGAGTAACAGAGCCTGGGTGGGCTCAGGACAGCTGGCCTCCCCAAAGAGGTCATGCCCCCCTTCTGTGCACCACCACCTGCCTGCTGTCCCCATCTCACACCCTGCCCTCCTTGCAACAGATACAGGGAAAGCCCGGATTAAACCCTCATGGGCAGCCAAACTTCTCCCCAAGCCCAGGAGACAGAAATGATGCAAGCAGGCAGGAGTCAGTCAAACAAGCAGGGCATTGTGCAAGCAGGGCTGCACAGCTGCCCACGGCCAGGGCAGCACAGAGCAGCTTATCTCAACAGGAAGGGTTTCTCAATCCCTGCACTGCCCACACAAGCCATCAGTAAACAGTTTGTCCTGCTCAAGAACAACAGCTACTGAAGAGCTGCAGCTCTGTTGGCAGTGTAGATGCAGTTTCTTTAACCCATCTTTTGCTATTAAAATGCATGGTTATGTGGTTTGCATAATCATTCAACACTGAACAGCTGCCAGCATCTCATCTACTCCTACCACAAGCACAGCACCTTACCTAAGCTAGTCTCTAGACCAACTTAGTAGCTACACTTACCTAGTTAGTCTCCTACCCAGTCTTGCCTACAGAACAAACTACTTTAGGCTTTGTCACAAAAAGCACGCAACAAATTTCCTAATGAAATGCTGTCAGTCACATCAAATTAGGTACATCTGGCTGCACACTCAACTTACTGCACTGCACAGAGATGAAGTTTTCATACCAAAAGATACACCTGATTTAACTTGCATGTTGGGATCTTTATCTTCTTTAATTCACAATACCAAGATGCACAAAATGGAGACACTGGCACTTGCACAGTGCAGATGATCCATCCTCAGAGCACAGAGTGGGACTGAACGACTTCCTGGAGCCAAGGGAGGTTGACTGGGTAGCAAAGAGAATTTACAGCATCCCTCTCTGACAAAGATCCTCTCACAAGATTGCAGACTATCTCAGAACCCATCACTAGCTCATCATTCATCTCAGGCCACATCGTTAGCAACTTTCTATAGTTAATTAAGACACCCCCCCCAGATACTAATTATGGCTGTGTAGTTCCTGTTCTGCTGATCATTGCTTTGTATTTGGCGAATTAGTCTAATGACTATAAAAATGATACATCTGGGTCAATAAAGAATTCTGTTTCTAAATCTCTGGAGACAAATACAATGAGTAGTTTGTGTTTTACTCAGATGCAACTAAATTCTATTAGACTTTTAATTGTGAGGAATTAAATAAACATCTATATTGAGCTGTTTTATACACTTTTGTAGTGATTCCCTCATGATGTCAGCATTACAGTAACGGGATTAGAAAAATATTTTCTGATGCTTAGAGACAAAACTCTTCCTCAATTCCTGCACTTGCTCATGATCCTTGTGCTTGATTTGCAACATAGTGGTAGCACTCCTCTCTCAACATGCTCTCTGAGCTTTTTGGAGGACAGACTAAAGGTTGTAGTTCTGAAGGAGTGAAAGTTGCAGGACCTCAATGACACATCTTCTGGTGATGTGATAAGGAGCTTCAAACACTGCAGAACTCTTTATGACAAACCAAAGAGCAGATCAGCTTTTCAGAATAACCAAAGTTCTTCTTTAACTTCTTTGGCATTCCATCTTGTTGCTACAACTGTTCCCTGCCTTTTCCTGCTCTATTTTTTTTAAATTAGCATCTAAGGAAATACATTTGAAGTCCAAGGCAAGGTTTTGTACCAAGAACTACTTCTGCTGTAAAGGAGGAGTTTCACATGATGGTCTGTAACACCCCAGAGCATGAGCCTG